GTGGTGAAGGCTTTGGGGAGCTTTAGTCCAAGAACATCTGGAGACCCAAGGTCAGAAACGACTGCTTTACAAGAACAGAATAGAAAAGAAACACCTCTCTCCTTGTCCTCTGCTGTCTCCACCATGGGGGAGCAGGAAGAAGATTTCAATTTTAAAATATCTAAGCGACATACCACATCAGCACTGCCTTGTGTTTCTATCTTCCTCCACAGGGCAGCTGGAGCAGGGTTTCAGTGTCCCAAGATCATGAAGCAGTTTGAGAAGACAGTTTAAGCTACCTGTTTTGGCTCGATCCCAAAAATCACACATGCTGCAATTGAACCAAAATGGACTAATCCTACCTGCACACACAAAAAAGTAGCCCCTGACAGGAAACCAAAAAGATGCTGGGAGGCCTGGATCAAAGACAAGCTGTTTGCCAAAAAACATGTGGTTGCCAGAAAAATGAGCAAACCAGCCCAGCCCAAAATCAGACCAAACTGCAAATCCCTCTCTAGTCACACCCTAATTCATTGTTTTTCACGTTACTGTATTAACATGTCGAATCATCGTTAGCAACAGGCCCATAACGCAAGGAAATAGGCTGTTATAGCTTCTAGTTCTGGAATTCTACCTTAATATTCTGATATTACACCTTGAGAATATTTATAAAAAGACAAAACTTAAGGTCTGGCATAAAACCTGAAAAATTCCTCTGAAAAGGCTTTTAAAATGCCCTTTAAAATATTTTTGAAAGCAATTAGATGAAAGAACATTACACCTAAGTAACACGGGTACAGTATTTCCTATTACACCTAAAGAGTAACTTTTGAGAATATTTATAAAAAGACAAAACTTAAGGTCTGGCATAAAACCTGAAAAATTCCTCTGAAAAGGCTTTTAAAATGCCCTTTAAAATATTTTTGAAAGCAATTAGATGAAAGAACATTACACCTAAGTAACACAGGTACAGTATTTCCCTTTACACCTAAAGAGTAACTTTATCACTACCAATGATAAATACAAAACAACAAATAGAGGGGAGCTACAACTGGGCAGAGTGAAGCAACTGTTATCATGAAAAAGGTACAAATAATTTATTTAATTGGTTATTGCAAGTTTACTTCCAAGGAGAGGAAGAAGCCGTCTGAAGTGCAAGACATCTGGATCTCAAAACCCTATGTTACATTTTGTGACTCCTTCTGTTCCATTTTGTTAGTGGTGGGTGTAATATTTAGCCATTTCAAGAAATTACTCTGAGAATTCTTATAGGGAGGGTAGTATTGCTATACTCAAATTTCTGATTATTCAGAGTGAGTTAAGGAGAAGTTCTGAGATAGCAATCATTAGCAAAGGTAGTGCTGCATGTTTCAGGAGAAACAAAAGCAAAATTCTCAGGAAGTTTTCAAAACATGGCGTGGGGTATATTGAATTGCAATGTTTATTTGTTTATTTATTTAATTAAGATTTTTGTAGACTAGGTTTTTAAAAGCAATGAAATGACTAGGTTTTAGGTTCTAGCCGTCACAAGACAGTTTCCATAAACAATTAAACTGCAAATGTAAATCAAATAATGAAATATGCATCAGAAGTCGTTACATACATTAAGAACAACAAGCACCCGATGCAATTCATCCCTAAGCCCACATACTCAGAAGTAAGTCTCACTGAGTTCTACAGGATGTGCTCTCTAGTATAACTTGTACAGGATCAGAGCCATAATGGTAAACAGCTACAGTTGGCTGAAAATAATTACCCTCTTGTGGAATAACTGTGTGTCTCTTTGTGGAAAGGGACTGACCATGTTCCTTAAACAAAGTGTTCCAGGTCAGGTGGCTTGAGGTGGGAAATCATCTCAATTTCAGGCATGCCTCAAATTACCCTATTCTCTTTCCCAATGTTCCACTGCAAGGACTGAGGCAAATAGTCCATAGAATGGCAAAAAATTGCTCTGGCTCTCCCTAAGTGCTGTTTACTAAAAATTAAAAAAAGCAAACAAACCAACAAAACCCCCAGCAGTTGTGGAGTGAAATACAGTGGTGCCTCGACTTACGAACTTAATCTGTATTGGAACAGCGTTTGTACAGCGAAAAGTTCGTAAGTTGAGGCAAACTTTTCCATAGGAATGCATTGAAAACCACTTAATCTGTACCTGCTGTTTTTCGTTCGTATGTCGAGGCACTGTTCATAGGAACTAATGCAAAGCTGGTTAATCCGTACTCTACCACTAGGGGGCGATATTTCTTCTTCTTTTTACCTAAGATGAATTTACAGTAGGTCAATAAAAGGGCAGGAAAGGTTTTCTTTCTTTCTTTCTTTCTTTCTTTCTTTCTTTCTTTTTGGTTCGTAAGTCGAGGCTCTGTTCGCAAGTCAAAGCAATTTTTGCGAACGGAGCCGTTCGTAACTGAAATCATTCGCAAGTAGGGACATGCATAAGTCAAAGTTCCACTGTAATTGCAGGGGAGAACAATGAATAACCAGAAAACTGGTGTGGGCTCACCATTCGTAACTCAAATCATTCGCAAGTAGGGGCATGCGTAAGTCAAAGTTCCACTGTAATTGTAGGGGAGAACAATGAATAGCCAGAAAACTGGTGTGGGCTCACAGTCCAGAGGTCAAGCTCAGTTTAGATTATGCCTCTCTAGCTGCTTTTTCTCCAGAATAAAAGTTGGTGTGCTAGGAATGTTGTTTTAACTTGTGAGTAGTTCCACTCTTGAATTGGCCTTCTCAGCCACACTAGATGTTGTTCCAAGACCTCTATTCAGAGCATATTACCATAGTCTCTCGAGACTGAAGGATGCCTACACAGTTCTGTATGTAGTCAAGACTATGTAGTGGTTTTATAGTTGGAAGAAGGAGATGGTGAGGGACTTCTGGTTCTTTGTTCATGCCCTCAGACATTATAGGATTCCAGGAATCTATAAAAACATTTAATCCCATAGTTCTGTCACACTGAAGTGTGACTCAGAACCCACAGAATGGAGGTATGCAAGAAAAAAAGGCTTGATTGTCTATTTCTGGGGTCACCAGGGATATGGAAGACCCACCTTACCCTATTGGACACAAACCCAGCTAAACTGGATTGAGACTGGTTAGTACTTGAATACCAGCAAAATCTAGTCAGGGCAAGGAATAATTCTCTCTGAAGCCATAGAAAGCCTTTGCTGCCCATCAGAGCTGGAGACATGGAGCTAGATGGATGAAGGATTTGATTCAGTGTAAGATAACTTGTCATGTTCCTAACAATTAGCATCCAGCCTGATGGCTTTTCTACTGTGCAGACAATGTATGTCAATCCAAATGTTAAAATGCAACTCCCATCAGACCTACCCAGCACAAGAAATGATAAAGCATGATGGGAACTGTAGTCCAATGACTTCTGGAGGGCCACAAGTTGCCAGCCCCATTGTAAACAGACAGCATCCATTCTCATGGAAAAAGCCAACAGTGCTCTTGTGGTCATTGAAGCCAACATCCACCAGTCACCCCAGATATATTGAATGGCCTGCCCTTCCTGACTGAATATCCACAGAGACGTTTACAATGATCTTCTCTGTGTGGCACCTATTAACATATTCTACAACTCACATGAGATTCCCTCTAATACACTTCCACCTAGCAGAATGATATTTTGCTACCCCTAGAATAATTTCCTTCTTACTCTTTCAGACTTTTAAAACCCTGTTTAGGCTATGCATTAAAAAGACCAGTCATTACCCTTCTTAGTGCACACTAAACCATGGAGAGAAAGAGAAGTATTAATCCAGATTGAGAATATTTTGTTCAATATGCACCTGCTGCAGTGAGTCATGGCATCCTGGAATGTGTAGTCTAGTGAATACTGTAAGTAAGTCTTTTACAGCAGTGGCTGAAGAGATTTTGCTGCCTGAAGCAAAGACCAAGATTGTACCGCTGGAATGTGTAGTCTAGTGAATACTGTAAGTCTTTTACAGCACTGGCTGAAGAGATTTTGCTGCCTGAAGCAAAGACCAAGATCGTACTACTCACCCATACCATTCCATGTATAGAAACTGATATTAGACATGTTCCAAATGAATAATACGTTGTACTTCACTCCTGCTAATAGGATGCAGTCCTACAACAGTGCAGGAGCAGCAAACCCCCTGAGGGGGTCGCAAGGAGAAATGGGGCCGCAGTCTCTGGCTCCTTCAACACCTGCAGCCTTTAGGTGATGTTTCACTTTGCCCAGTAGTAGGGCCAGCTGTTGCATCTGACAACATGACACAATATGAAATACTGTAGCTCTATATGAAATGGCAATCCAAATCCACAGGCAGGTGAACTGGTGGCATCTTTTGTTTTTGGTTCCCCACCCCTGTCCCCCACCCCCGGGACCTAGGTTACTGCTATTTTTGTCTGTGGATTTTCACAGATATACAGTACATGATGGGTATATTTGTGGTTAGTTGCTTGTCAAGAATTTTAAAGTGATCTGAAGAGAAACTGCAGTTCAAATAAGAACACTTATGCCTGATTGAAGGCAAGGCTTTATATCTTCCTTCAGACTTTGAAAAATAACCATCTCTAGCCAATTAAAGATAATTTTGCAAATTAGTACTGCCAGTCATAGAAAACAAAGGAGTGAGTCTTCTCTTTTGGTACCAATGATCTGGGAAATTCTTAACTTCCTAAAAGGATTTCTGCCCAGTGCTGTGAGGTGAAAGGTGTATCTATTTTTGGAAAATCTGAAACTCGAGAATTTCAGACCAGCAGGAATATGGATTTCCTAAGGGTTAGCAAAGAACATGAACGTCTAAAGAAGATGAGCAGTGGTTCATGAATCTAGAGGATCTACAAATTTATATCTAGACAGTCAAGATATAAATATAAATATATAAATTTGTACATCTTTTTTTAAAAAATCATCCTGGTAGATTATCTACAGGATTAAAAATTCCTGCAGCATCCCTAATTGATATCAATTCTTTGTTGTTTATCCATAGAAACGAAAAAAGAAACTACACCACCAACATCACCACCCACAATTTAAATAAACTTACCAGTTTACAGATTTTTATCCAAGGAAGTTGAAAGCTGGATTCTTTGGAGCAGACACGTTGTAAAAAACAGAATAGACTTCACAAAAAAAGTGGGGGAAGCGAGAAAAAGTAATCCTTTCAAGTGTGAAGTGAGATTCATTCAAGTTCTGCAAATTGCTAATTGGGCAAGTGTTTCTTCTTTTTCAAATAGCAAATCAAGAAACAGTTTCCTTCTTCTAAAAATAGGCCTTTGGCTAGCTAGCACTTCAAAAATCTGTTTCCATGTCTCTGCCGATCATTTTGAAGACTGCAAAGCAGTTTACTACTCTGTAATCTTTATTGCACCATCTTTGGCTAGAGTTGACACTGTGAAAACACCTCCACCCACCAACCCCCAGGCAACATTTTATCTTCATTTGCACATTTTGCCTACCCTACATCTTGATGAAACCACACAATTTTCACATAGGAAATATGTTCCCTCTGAAGTCTTCTAATTCTGAGGAGTCATGATAGTGCTATCAAAAGATTGCACCTTGCTGGTGGTTTCACCCTTGCCACATTGCTCATGAAACTTCTTAGACACTCCAAGACCATCATCACAATCACCTTTGCCGAAACCTAGGACCAAATGCAGAGACCTTCTACAGCAAGACTGCACCTGTTTAGCACAACTTTAGAGCAACTGTATCAAGAAACTACTTCATTGGAGGGATGCTGGCAAGCCTTTGAGTCCGAGTCCCAAGTCCTGAGTCTCAAGCCCCAAGTCCTGAGTCCTATTGAAAACAAGCTTTTTCCCCAGAGAAAAGGGAGAGGTGGGTGGGTGGGTTCTGAGTTGTGAGTCAACTCCAAGTGATTAAAAAAAATCAGAGTGGAATCCAAGTCAAGTCATTGGTGTGACTTAAATCCAAGTGGACAGTTTCTGAGTTGTGAGTCAACTCCAAGTGATTTAAAAAAAATCAGAGTGGAATCCAAGTCGAGTCATTGGTGTGGCTTAAATCCAAGTGGACAGTGAATCAAGTCACTATCCCTGCTTCATAGAGGTTGCAAAGCAGGTCAGGGACAGGGCAAAGAGTAAGTTTTGTTGCTATGGCAAGGTGGCTCATGCCTCTCATAATCTTGTCCCACTGAGGCCATGGATTAGGAGTTTGGAGAACTGGGAGTAAATGCAAGTGCTCAGTGAGCCACAAAATCCTCTAGCTGAGCTAGGTTTACTCATACTCTCTTGGCCTGGCCTACATAACACTACTGTTGGATAAAAATGAAATGAAATGAAATGAGGTGAGCTACAAATGTGATAAATAAGACACTATATTTGCTTTTGAATATTGTGTTTGGTGTTCACATCTCTTTTGTCACACAGGACAATGTGAACGACTGGTTGCTGCTCCCTGATGATGCAGCTGCAGGAAGAGAGACAGCTAGGGGTGTGTGTGTGTAAGTGAAAAGTTGCTGAAGCGGCACTGCAGTTTAGGAATGGAAAAAAGTACAGAATATGAGTGAAAGCTGGAAGACAAGTTCTGGAGATGTGGGCATCTGTCAGGAGATTTGACATGTGGCAATTATGCTCAACCTGTGTGTTTGCAAATAGATCCCTGTTACCAAATGTCATACATGACCACTGAGAAGACACAAGGAAACTAAACTAGGAAAGTGGTGAGTGTGTAATACAGGGTAGTAGGTGTTGGAAGTCTAGGGCCAACTTTCCACCCACAGGACCCATCAAAGGCTGCACCATCTCACTAAATGGAAGAAATAGTGGGAAACTGAAACAGGAAGTGCCTGGACATGCACTTCCTCTTTCTGTTTTTTGTTTGGGAGAATATTGCAGAAATGTCATTTCTGAAGCCCTGCAGAATTAGAACATTATTCCTTGATGGGGGTGGGGTGGGGGGAATTGTACAGGGGGCATCAGGAGGGTGCAATTAACTGAGAGATGGGGGCAAGGAAAGACACATGCAGTCCATCAAGCACAGACACATGCAGTCTGTGGACTATAGTTGCCATTCCAAGTGCAACATTATTCATTCTTCGGCCCTAACCAAATCCACATCCTGACCACCTGGCCATATCATATGATGCTTCTTCAAGCCAATTGTGTGTATGGCCACACCACAGAGGTTATCCACTTCCAAGATGGTGACCCGATAGCAGGAGGCTGTGTTTTTCCTCTTGCTGAGTCTGCATTTTTCCTTTTCTTTCTGTTCTCTTTCTCTCTGCTTTCTTTGGTTTGCTTATTTTAGGAAAGCATGTTACTAGGTATCAAAGCCAAATTAAACCAAAACAAATAAACTAGCATCGTGCTGTTTAGTTACACAGATGTAGTGAGGCAAAGACAACATGAAAAATATAAAAGAGTTCAAAAACCTTACAAAAACACAAAAAGCCATTAAAAAGAATAAAAACAATTCCACTCCAGTAATTCATTAGTAAAAACAAAATAATCCAAATAGGTTATAAAAAGGCTATAGTCCTCAGTGATCCTATAGAATA